AGATTTCCATTGAGATTTGATGCTTTTGGAGGCTTTTGGATGGAGATTTCTATTGAAAATTTGGAGATTTGCTTTCCAAAAGTCAGTGCGCACTTTCTTTATAAAATCCCTTATTTAAAAGTATTGAAAAACAAAAAAAATCATTCAAGCAAAGGGGGTAGTCCAGCAAGCAGCTTTCTGACATTATTTAGGGGGGGCCCCTAGAATAATGTCTAGAGATTTGAGGCTTTAAATCTTTATTCCTTTTCTTTGCCTTTTGATTTGCTTTACTCACCCTCTATTCCTTATTTACTTTTCCTAAGCTCTTTAGTTGTGACGCTTTCCAAAAGTTTCCAAAAGTCAGTGCGCACTTTCTTTATAAAATCCCTTATTTAAAAGTATTGAAAAACAAAAAAAATCATTCAAGCAAAGGGGGTAGTCCAGCAAGCAGCTTTCTGACATTATTTAGGGGGGGCCCCTAGAATAATGTCTAGAGATTTGAGGCTTTAAATCTTTATTCCTTTTCTTTGCCTAGTTGTGAAGCTTTCCAAAAGTTTCCAAAAGTCAGTGCGCACTTTCTTTATAAAATCCCTTATTTCCATTGAGATTGGATGCCTTTTGATGGAGATTTCCATTAAACATTTGAAGATTTCCATTGAGATTTGATGCTTTTGGAGGCTTTTGGGGGGAGATGTCTATTGAAAATTTGAAGATTTCCATTGAGATTTGATGCTTTTAGAGGCTTTTGGATGGAGATTTCTATTAAACATTTGGAGATTTCCATTGAGATTTGATGCTTTTGGAGGCTTTTGGATGGAGATTTCTATTAAAAAACTTGAGATTTCCATTGAGATTTGATGCTTTTGGAGGCTTTTGGATTGAGATTTCCATTAAACATTTGAAGATTTCCATTGAGATTTGATGCTTTTGGAGGCTTTTGGATGGAGATTTGCTTGAGATTCGATAAATATTCCAGATGTCTTCAAAGTTAGGAATTCTTATTTCCTTTTAATTTAATATTGCCAGAGGTCTTCAAAGTTAGGAATTATTATTTCCTTTTAATTTAATATTGCCAGAGGTCTTCAAAGTTAGGAATTCTTATTTCCTTTTAGTTTAATATTGCCAGAGTAGCTCCAGAGGTAGCTAGCTAAGGATTCCTTATTTAATTATCAACTGATTGATTTTCTTATACATTATTTTGGAGGCCTTGGCTGTTGAGGGGGGGGGGGGGGGGGGGGGGGGGTT